CCTGTGCGATCAAAACTCACTGTTCTGTATGATAAATAAAAGAACATTGTACCTTGAAAATCTATAGCGGGTACATTTTACCCGTTGGCGGTTTTAGGTATACAGCGACCTCTGGCGGTTCTAGGTGGTGGACTGTAACTTGTAAAATCCATAGATTTAGGAGGTCCCCTAGTGGCCGTTAGCTGTAAAAATCCATAGATTAGCCGCACCGTTATATAAGCCGCAGGGTCGAAAAATGGGGAAAAAAGGCGCGGCTTATAGTCCGAAAATTACGGTAGTTTAAAAACAAAAATGCTTGAGACATTTTCTTTATTGACAATAAGAGGAGATTAAATATGATTAATTGTTAAAAGAAAGTTGTAAGAGAACTACAGGAGTAACGCGTTACTGAAGTTAACTTTGACAACAACCGGAAATATTGAATATAATCTGATGACTAAAACGGTTTTCATTCACTGAAAATAAATAACATGGTTCTGGTTTAATTTGAGCAAGACAAAGAGAAAATGCCTGAACCTTTAATCGACTAAATCTTTAAAAATAAAACAACCAAAAATTGAGACTAAATTTAAGAAATCTGACAAAACTACTGTAGCATAACTAAGGCTGCACCATTTGTAAAAATACCTAATAACTAAATGCATGATCACTTCCTGCAGGTGGGGGAAACAATAAGTGTGACGATATTAAGGTGCAGTATTGTTGATGAGAAAAGTTACCCGTTACTGAAGTTAACTTTGACAACAACCGGAAATATTGAATATGATCTGATGACTAAAACGGTTTTCATTCACTTAAAATAAAATGGTTTGATTTGAGCAAGACAAAGAGAAAATGCCTTTTAATTGACTAAAACTTTAAAAAATAAAACAATTGTATTCCATTCTATTTCTATGTAAATACTGAAATATTTTACTATATTTGTTAATGTTATTATAGTTTTCTTAAAATACTTCTCTATCTGTGTTTTGAATTTTTGTTTTACTTGTATGAATGCACCACGACACCAAGTTAAATTCCTCGTTCGTGTCCACCCACCTGGTGATAAACCTGGTTCTGATTCTGATTGCACAAAAACCTGAGACTAAATGAAAGAAAGCCGACAAAACAAACACGACTGCACGATTTGGAAAAAAATAACTAAATGCACGATCTCGTACCTGCTGGGACTGAAGTCGGTGTTGCAGCTGCAGCCTCAGAGCGTTTGGCTGGTTTGGAACGCCCCCCCCAGGCCTGAGTCCCGGTCTGGTCTGCATCCTCATCATGGGGTACCCGGGGCGGGGGCCCATGGGACCCCCCAGGGGGTGGAAGCCCTGGTCCTGCAGGGGGTACCCCCCCCTCTGAGAGAGGTGAGAGGGAGGGGCTGCAAACTGCTGGGAGTACATGGGGGGCTTCTGGTCCATCAGCATGGAGTCCTGCTGGAACTGATCCTGCTCCAGGGACTGGTTCTGGAGAACACGAGAGGTACACAAATATATTACAGACGCCCCGAGAGTCATGGGTTACACATATAGTTATAATAATAATAATACATTAAAATATACATGTAATAATAATAAGTTCAATCAGACTCTTTATTCATCCCGGCGAAAGCTGGGTTTTGTGACATATTTATAAAAAAATATGTAGATAATGTACAAATGTGTACACTGTCCAACAATACATATTTAAAATCTGTATATAGCAATATATATAGTGGTGTATTAGTATTAATAAAGATATTACACCACATTATTGCTTTACCTGCACAGTTTAATGCAGTAATAATCTAAATAATTTGAGTTTTTCAGTTAAATTTAGTCCTCGAGGGCTTCCGTAGTTTCTGAAACCACTCCCCCAGATGAATGAAATCTCACTTGTTCTACCAGAGACGGGATCCCCAGCGCCCGGTCGATCTCCTCCAGCCCATCGAAGTCTTTGAGGGCGGTGTAGAGCTGAGACATGAGGACCCCCTCGTCCACAGGGACCCCCTCCCCAGAGCTGTGCCCCCCCCCTCCCAACAGCAGGTCCTCCTGGGGGGCCGCGTGCACCGGCCTGCAAACAGAGGGGGAAGAGGACGTTATTCAACAGTTTAAACCATTAAAATACTCTTAAACAGTGTCTGGGATAAAAGCTTTACAATCAAAACTGCTCCACTTGTTAAAAATCTGCTCAGAGATTGTTGGCAATCCTGTCAGAGACTTTGTGTGTGTTGTGTGTGTGTGTGTGTGTGTGGTGTGTTGTGTGTGTGGTGTGTGTGTGTGTGTGTGTGTGTTGTTGTGTGTGTGTGTGTGTGTGTGTGTGTGTGAGTGAGTGAGTGAGTGAGTGAGTGAGTGAGTGAGTGAGTGAGAGAGAGAGAGAGAGTGTGTGTGATCATAAATCCTGAGTGGTGAAAGCTTTGCTCTGTAGATTACAGATGTGTCTCCACATGTGCACAAAATCACCAAATGCCTGCAGACGATTGGATGTGCACGTTTTCGCCGATATTCAATCGATAAAGAATCTGCTCAAAGTTTGTTGGTCACCTTGTCAGAGACTTTCTGACTCACAGACCATAATAACCTGAGAGGCTCAACAGCATCCTCTGGGACCCAAAGCATGCTCTGACAGAGAATCTGAGCTGCTGCTATCGAATGGAGATTGAATAAAGTCAGCCTGAAGCATCCTTTGTGGTCCAGCCTGAAGCATCCTTTGTGCTCCAGCCTGAAGCATCCTTTGTGCTCCAGCCTGAAGCATCCTTTGTGCTCAGGCCTGAAGCATCCTTTGTGCTCCAGTCAGTCCTCTCAGTGAATACAGAGCTCAGTCAGGATCAGATGCACGCTGAAGGCTCTTTGAGCAGCTCTCACTGATCCTGCTGTTATGTTACATGTGATTGGATTTATTTCGAATGTGTAAAACAATAATAAAAAATAATTATAGTGAAATGAAACATGAGAATTATTATACTGTACAAACGTAAGCGTAATCAAATTGATTAACACAAATATTTCTGACTTACAAATTATACATAAACAAATGATCTACCTAATTCTCCGAAAAGAGGAGGGAAGAAGTTACACTTATTTAACCCCACCCCTTCTCCCAAAAACTACATTATAAACATCTATATGAATGTTTGTTGTTTGTTTCACATGTGTTGTGTCTTGATATGTGTCTGTTGATGTTACACATGGAGCTGCTGTGATGCAAGGAGCATTTCAGACTTCATCTGACCATTAAAGTATTCTCGTATCGTATGCTAAATGCACTTTCTATGTCTTCTCTACATCACCATGTGTCCCCGGGGTGTCAGGAGACTCTCAAAGTGTCAAGCAATAAAACTCTCTTTTCCTCTGTGCCCACATCTCTAAAAACGGGGGAACAATGGAGCTGATCCAGATGTACGTCCGATATGACGTGGCATCTAAAATGTGGGCTGGCTTTGCAAGAAAAATGCTAACCTTTAGTACTGAGTTTAGTAAGATTTTCTGGCATTATCAATAACATTTAATGGTAGTTCTCTCCCAGTTTCTCACCTGGCCTGGTTAACGAAGGCGGTCTGGTCGATGGGCATCATGCTGTCGGGCCAGGGGGCCGTGGTGTTGGGGGGGGCCTGCTGCTGGGAGAAGTGATGAGAGACCATCCCAATGTCCATATCAGACTGGGCTGTAAGAGCAGAAAGAGAGTTCATTAACTATCATGAAGGGAAGACTCTGGCTTTAAGAGGAGCTTAAATATCCTCTTGAAACCACAAAAGCCAACACAAAGCGCCAGGGAGGTAAATGAAATAAATGAATAAAAAAGCACTCTTTTCTGAGTACTCAAAGACACTTTATAATATAATGAAATTAAAACATGAAAAACAAAACAAGTTGATGCACTGAATTGAATTTAGATTTAAAAGAAATACCATGCTTAGCCACTAGGGGGCAGCATTCAACACTTAGCAGCATTGATATAATATAATATGGGTGAGTTAGGGTCTTCCTATCCATATTAGTGTATATTTACTGAGCGAGTAAAGGGTTTAAATACCCTGCATTGAATATGTCAGCATGCTACATCCTTTAACTGTCTTTCAAAAATAACAATAAATCAGAAAAAAGGTTAAAACCCATTGTTTTGGAGCATATTTTCCTAGTTTTATTGGGATTCTGGCTAAAAACACAGTAAAGTCTAGAAAGTTATTTATTAAGAGACCTGAGACGTTAGGGTTAGTAATCTCTCTACATCACGTGTTCCCATGTCTCTCACCATTGGGCATCATGGGGCCCTGGAGCATCTGTCGAGGCCCCGGCTGGCTGTTGGGCCTCAGAGGGGCTCCGTTGGGCGCCATCCTGGCCTGAAGGGCCCCCTGCTGAGCGGGACCTGATGCTCCGAGAGGAGGGGCCGAGGCTGAGGACCCCCCCCAACCCTCCTGCTGCTGATGCATGCTGGGACGTGGACCCCCGGGGGCCATCAGTCCTGCAGGGAGAGAGAGGGACGTGTAATTATTTAACAGTAACAAAATAGTAACATTTTATATTTTTCATAATATATGAATATAATTTGTGCTTTATACCAAGTTTGTCATGTTTCCAGGATAAGTGACAACTATTCAGTATTATTACGAGGTATAAGAACTATAATCAGAGCATCATGGTTTGCACTCACCTGCATTGACCATCCCAGCCTGATTACCCATCATGCTGTGCTGCTGCTGCTGCTGCTGCTGCTGTTGTTGTTGTTGTTGTTGTTGATGTTGTTGTTGCATGAGAGTATATGGGCTGGTGGCTCTGATTGGATACTGAAGTGATCCCTGCTGGGGGGACACGTTCATATCCAGAGACACACTCCTCACAGGCAGACCCCGACCCGGCTGAACTGGACGCACCCCGGTGAAATCTGCACGCAAAGAAATTGGTTAAAATGAGTGTAGTACAAATAATATCATTTTCAAAATCAGTTTTTACCATTTTTGTGCGATTTTGGAAATGAAATGTGATAAAATGTGTGTGTTTTCTGGATTGGTAGACTCACTGGGGTTCATGCTGATGCTCCGGTGCTGCTGGAGGGCGGCGCCGCCGTCGGACATCTGCAGGATGTCGTTGATGATGTTCTGCTTGTCCATCGGACTGGTCTGAGAGACGGGCCGCTGGTCTGTGAAGAGAGGAGGCCCGGCGCTCTGAAGGTCGTTCAGGATGTCGTCCAACTCTGAAGACTGGAGAGGATACAGAGAGAGAGAGTGAGGAAACATGAGAGGAAGGAAACAGAGAGAGAGAGAGTGAGGAAGCAGAGGAAGTGAAGAGGAAACACTGAGGCTTTGGGAAACACACGTTTAAAGAGAGCTCCATCTGGATCAGTAACTCCAGGATGAAATGGACCACTTTGATTCACTTCATCTCAGTTGTTCTGGTCACAGTGAGGGCTAACACTCTGAAGCCACCTGAGGAAGTACCATTTGTGATTTCAAGCTATATAAATGTGAAAGCACTTTTAGCGAGGAACACGGAGCACCTTCACACACATCTGGACTATCAGACCCATTCCTCTTCAGTTTCACAAACAGCCATCAGAAACAAAGACAAGGCTTTCGTCCTGAAGAATCTAAATAATCACGACATTAAAGATGAATCTCTTTATGACACTGGCCTTGGACCTCTTTATTCCTCTTTTTCTCTATTGGACACGACGTGGACAAGATAACAGAGACATTACATCACATGTTACTTGTTAGACGCTTTTATCCAAAGCGACTTACATACTCAACACTGTGGGCAATCCCCACAGGAGCACTTTGGGGTGAAGTGTCTCAGGGACACAACGACATGCTGACTGCAGTGGGGTTTGAACCTGTGCCCCCCTGATCCCAACACCAACGCACAACCCACTGCGTCACACGCCTCCAGAGACGCCTATTAACAACTATTTTGATAATTGTGTAATCGATGAAAGATACTTTTAGCAGAACATTAGCAGCAATAGCTAGTTGATCACCAAAGGGAATAAGAAATGACTTGATACCCATTTCAGTCATTTTACATGCAAACATGTGAGGAAGAGATCTGGAGACTAGAAGCATTTCTCTATTTTACATCATATTTAAGAGAATTCATTTGGGTTTTGGACAAAAGACGACATTTAAAGACATCCATTTAAACTTTGAGTAACTGGGATGGACATGGTTCAATCTGTATGACTATTTATAGACTTCGTTGTTGCTGGTATTAATTATAAGTTGTATTTCAAAACATCATTTGTAACTATAATTGATATATTTCGGATATTTTGACATTTTGTCAGAGTATTGGAAAAAGCATCAAGACATCGCTTTGGAATTTGACGAAATAGGATCTCTATTTTATGCCATTTGATAAACTAAACGATAACTAATCCATCAGTTAAATAATAGCAGTTACAGGTCTAGTCTGAGTCTTGATGAAAGGATGCAGGTAGTGGTGACGTCCACAGAGGAGGTCGTGCTGCTTCACACACCGAAGGGACTTTAAGGGTAAATAAGTTGCACCGTCTGCATGCGGCCACTAGAGAGTAGCACACACCCACTGATCTCTCTCACACACACACACAGATCTCTCACACA